CATGTTTTCCGTCCCGTTTTTGCTCATATCTCGGAGGCAAAATGAGCAAGAACGCTCATTTGTACATTATTCTAGAGAGAAATAAATGGCCTTTTGAGAAAGTGAACCGTCGATCAGGAAATGTTGGCAGTTTTCTCAAAAAATGCTTGAATTCAAAAAGTTTTAGATTTGCGTGGTTTTTTTTGAGTTGGAAAATCCACTTGAACATGACGCTGCTTTTTTCGAAGTTTCTCAAGAACCATTCGAGCCACAGCATTCGTTTTGGCATCGTTGGATAGAGAATTGAAAAGTGGATTTAGTCGTAACAACGTGAGTGAGGAAATTCGAGTAGTTTTGACCCAGAAAGCGAAATTTCAATATCAGACACTTAGTTGCAAGATTATGCCAAAATTCCATGTTTTCGGTCCCGTTTTTGCTCATATCTCGGTGGCAAAATGAGCAAGAACGCTCATTTGTACATCATTCTAGACATACATAAATGGCCCTTTTAGAAAGTGAATCATCGAAAAGCAAATGTTGGCAGTTTTCTCAAAAAATGCTTGAATTCAAGAAGTTTTAGATTTACGTGGTTTTTTTGAGGGGGGGGTCATGACCCCCATAACCCCCCCCTGGACCGCCCTTGGGCAAAGCCCTACTTTAATTTTAACTCTTGATCAAGTTTCAGCTCGAGATCTTGATAACCACGTTTGCAATTGATTAATAGTTTTTTATATATTAAAGCAAGCTTTTACTAAACATTCAATTTGCATATGTTTACACAACAAACTCATTTGATTTACGCTTAAATAACGTCTCTAACACAAAATTACTGTCCTAGATCGAAGCCGACACTGGGGAAAAAGAAAGCTACGCACATGCCAAACAACGGGCCGTGCGACTGGCTTGCGCCCTTAAAAAAGACAATTTGGTGCAACCTGGAGACACCACAATGGTTTGTTCGGAGAACACCATTCACAACATAATCCCCATATTGGCCACCACTTTCCTGGGAGGAAGTGCTGCATCGATAGATCCGATGGAAAGCGTCGACGAAATGGCAGGCGCTCTAGCGTATAGCGAACCGAAAGTTATTTTCACTGGTAGGACGAACTTGAAAAACGCAAAACAGGGATTAAGCCCCCTTCTCTTGCCCAGAAAAAAAGTCTGCTGGAATGCTAAAAGAAGCTCACAAGCAACTGGAGGCGAAGAACAACCAAAGGTATCAAGTGACGTTTTTTGTCATTGGGGCTGATGAGAAGATTGATGGGGATGTTCAGCGAATAGAGGACTTTGCACTGCCTTGCCCAGAAGAAAAAAGTTTCCAACTTCAACCCCAGGTGAGAATAACTAGAAATGGTTCTACGAGTAAATAAACCAGGATTCCTACAAGCGCAGGATTCGTTCGATACTGCCATTTACGTGTTCACCAGCGGAACTACCAGCCTTCCAAAGCCAGTGGCTTTGTCCCATTATGGAGTTCTTCACGGCTTCAAATGCCTGGTAGAGTGAGTGCATTCTTTAATCTCACCAACAAAATCGCTGGAAATATAAACCTGTTTAGTGAAATGGACAACGTGAACCCGGAAGTAATAACCCATTTCGCATCTCTTTACTGGATCTCAGCGATTCTCCTCACTGGAGTGACGCTGTCCCATGGAGGCACCAAAGTGATCGCTCCTAAAATACCTGTCTTAAATCTTCTGGAAATTATAGAGAAATACCAGGTAATAAACGAAAGGCGACCTATTGCTCAATAGTGCAGGTACTCAAAATCTATATGTTCCAGATCACATTCGCGTTTATGTCCAACACTTACACCTACGACATCACGAATCTCCCAGCAGAAACAATCGCCCAGCATGATACCTCCTCACTTTACTCTATAGTGATTGGGGGTTCCCCAATGGATGCCTGCCAATTGAGGAAAATGAGAGCAACTCTGCCTCACACTAAAGTAACGGTTGGTTACGGTTCCAGCGAATGTGCTGCTGTCTCGGCTTTTGACTTGCAAGACTTCAGGGCTTACGAGGAAAAAATTCTCTCATCAGGTAAACTGGTGGCCGACGTTGAAGTCAAGGTAAGTCGAGTGAGTCAGTGAAAGGCCCTAATAACCCGCGGTTTCCAGATTGTTGATTTGGAAACGCGCTGCTTGTTGCCGGCCAACGAAGTTGGCGAAATATTAGTCAGAAGCCCCTACATGATGAAAGGCTACCATGAAAAGTGCATCGTCTTCCCCAAATCCCCCTTGGATGAAACCGGATTCTTAAAAACAGGCGACTTGGGATTTTTTGACAGCGACAACTACCTCTTTGTTACGGATCGAATCAACGACACGTTTAAATACAAAACGTATCAGGTGAGCCCCCTGAGCATAGAAAGAGTTCTGCTTGAGCATGCGGCAGTGAAAAGCGCAGTTGCTTTCAATGTGTTCCATGAACAAGACAGAAACCATGCAGCAGCGATTGTAACACTTAAGCCAGGCTTTGAGGGTAGTGCGGAAGAGATTAAAGCCTTTGCCAACGCCAGGTTGTCCGAAAAGCATAAAATTAGGGCCAAAGTTTGGATACGGGAGCAGATTCCTTATAAAACCAGAACAGGAAAAGTGCAACGGGCGCACATAAGGGAGGAGTTTTCCAAAAAAATGCAGGAAGAGTGTACGCAGAGTTGAAGCTTGGAAAACCTAATGTGAATTTGTAGAACATTCTTAGGAGCATGCAGAAAATAAATCGATCTTCCTTGTGTCAATTGAAGCTGCTTGTGGGCAACGTACGTGGTTGTTGCAAAACATGTGTTTTTTACTTTATGGAGTTTTTACCAAATAAAATAGTGCAAATTGATATGCTTGCTGTTATATGCCTAAAGCTATCTTTTAATATCTGAACACAATTGACCCTTCTATTTGATTCAATTACCATAATTTATATTTGCATTTTTTTATAATCACATTTTGAAGAACTTATCAATGGTCAGACAGTAATTGATAAACCTGAAAGATCCCCAATAGTTTTACATATATATTTTTCGAAAAAAAAGCGCCCCAGTACCTGCTCATTTCCGATGTGTTGATAGAGTGAACCACTCGGGGCTTAAACCAGTTCTCCTCCTTGGAAAGTTTGCTTAGTTCCGGATCGCAGTTCCACCATCCATAATTCATGGAATTCGTCCCAGGATGTTTGAACATGTTTGTAGGGCCTGCACATTAATTGAAATTTACAACAAAATATTTACCGGCCAACATACGTACCGACCGGTTTAAATAGATATTTTTTGCGCATCCTGTACAGCCGGTCTTCCGATCCATAAGCGTACCCATCTGCAGTTCCAATGTAACAATCCAGCTCTTTGATTTTTTCCGCAAAAGTTCTGTGGTCATCTTCAATTCTCGATTAAATCGGAGTCTTAGTTTATAAACATGCATTCTTACATTCGTTATCTATGTAGGTGGTGGGAGGTTCTTGAAGCTCCTGATAATCGTCCCGCAGCATATCTTTGATAGGGTTGCTGGATCCATACTGGGTCAGCCCGAAAAAATCCATCGCTCGAATTTAAGTGATTTCAATTGACAAAACTGCCAAAATATGGCCTTATACCTACGTTAAAGTGTCTTACACCTGCTTTATACAAGGATTCATGAAAAATTTCAAACATTCTGGAAAGCAGCATAGATATTTGGTAACCGTGTCGTTTGGGTTCCCCCGAATTTATAGTTTTTTATTTTTTTACCTTCATCAAGCACTTTCAACGAAAACAATTCCCGGGTGGTCCATAAATTAAGCCAAAAACACTTACAAAACTTTTGAAATTCGCTGTTCCAAAACCACTTATTTATGCATAAAAATGAGATTGTCTGGTGCTATTACTTGCTAAATCGTGTTATAGGTATCAACAATTCATAACTCCACATGCAAAATTGTCTCTGAGATGCATAAAAATTGTGTTTTTCGCAAAAGTTTGAGAACCTTTTCTAACGTCTAAAGTTGATTGAGGTTATCTACCGCGTCAATAGTCAGATGACGGATAGTTTGTCTTTCAGGAATTCAACGCAATGCGGTGTTGCCACGTATTTTTCAGTTGTTTTCCTTTCGGGTAATTTTGAGTTTGTGTGTATTAGCATGGTTGAAGTGATTACTGTAATAAAACTTAAAAAAATATGCGGCAAGTAAAAATTAATTGCGTGAAAAGACCTAAATAATCGAATCCGACCCAAATTGAATGAGTCTACATGCTAGGTATCCAAGGAAACATATTTCAACAGTTTGGTAACTAACTAACTGAAATTTAGCCTGAAAATGGTGATTTTCCTCAAACTTTGTCAGTTTTTTGGCTTGGACTATCCATGATTTTTGTTAACTGAAACTGCTTAATTCAAAACAAAAAATTCGGAGCGGCTCAAACGACGACGATTTATGTAGAAATGCGGCAACAGTGACAACATGCAAAGAGCCTGGAGCGCCCCCTTTGTTATTGTGAGTTGTCAAATTTGTGAGTATTTAAAGCGCGGTTTGTTGTTCATCTGGCAAAATGAGAAAAACTGCTCCTCAGGATTGTTTTTCCTGTATTAACAGTGCGTTATAGAAAGCCAAGTGCTTTCGTGGCAACGTCCGATTGTTTGGAAGCATTTTCGAGTGACAATGGCAAGTGGAGATGGCAGGAAAGTGGCCCTGATCACTGGCATCAATGGGCAGGTGAGGAGCTTTGAATTTCCCCGATTTTTCCATAATTTTCCAACTCCCTAGACACGTATACATGTTCACTGAATAACTAGAAATCTGATAGCTGCTTTTCATGCATCCCCCGAGTGTTGACTAGAACTACATCGAAAAAGCAAATGTGCCGAATTGAACCTGGCAAAGCCCTTCAGCATTGCTAATTCTCCGCAATCCGACCTTAAAAGCAGCTTCATACGTGCCAACTGTTCATTGTCAATACACCTTATCTTGACTGATAAAACCATCCTACGCCTCGTAATATAAACCTTAATTCCAATAGTTGTGTTGGTTTAAACTCATTGTGTGTGTGCAATGATTGCAGGATGGCTCCTATTTGGCCGAATTGCTGCTCAACAAAGGCTACGAAGTGCATGGAATCATTCGAAGGGCCAGCACGTTCAACACAAGCCGCATCGACCATCTACACACTGATCCCTATGCACACAAAGGTATGGTAAAGCTCTGGACAGATGGCGAATGCGTTGCTAATCAAGTAATTTTTAAGGCGGAAAGCTCTATCTGCACTATGGCGACATGACTGATTCCAGTTGTCTGGTGAAAATCATCAGCGCAGTTAAGCCCACTGAAGTCTACAATTTGGCTGCACAAAGCCACGTTAAGGTGTCCTTCGACCTGAGCGAATACACCGCCGAAGTCGACGCTCTTGGCACCTTAAGGCTGCTGGGTAAGAAGGTGATTTAAGTAACCAGATAATGATTATGTCTAGTGTTATGAAGGATTAGAACCAGCCTGGCTGGATTAAATCCGCTAAGCTTAGGCGGTAATCTGGTTTTACGCAATATTTTTGGATTTGCCACATCGAATAGTTCACCTGGGAAGGATTATATCGAATTAATTACTAACGTGTTTGTTTGATGAAAATTTAAAATAACGCGAACTTTTCAAATGAAATTAATTTAAACGTTTAAGCTAAATTGTACGATTTCAGATGCGATCCGAACATGCGGGTTGGCCACCTACTCGAAGTTCTACCAAGCTTCCACCAGTGAGCTTTATGGGGATGTTAAGGAAATCCCGCAAAGCGAGGAAACCCCATTCAACCCCAGGTCCCCTTATGGTAGGTTTGTCTCGGTCTTCTAGCTGAACCATTGATTGATAATCGCTTTATTCCTTCCAGCTTGTGCCAAACTGTATGCATATTGGATAGTGATAAACTACCGTGACGCCTACAATATGTTTGCCTGCAACGGAATCCTATTCAACCACGAAAGCCCTCGCAGGGGCGAAACGTTCGTTACCAGAAAAGTAACCAGAGAAGTTTCGAAAATTAAGCTGGGACTCAGTGAGGTGCTGGTGTTGGGCAACCTGAACTCGAAAAGAGATTGGGGCCATGCGAAAGACTACGTTGAGGTAACTTAGTTCTTAAGTTTGTGTGATGGAAAACTGAATAATCCATTTCTGGCAGAATGTCCCTCATAAAGTTGAGCGGAGGCACTCGAGGGAAACTATATGCAACTTATATTGCATACTTTTTGTGCCTTTAAAATGCGAGGAAATAGGATTTTTCGCGAGCGAAACGCCAAGTTTGGGTTTTATGAGGCACGATCAAATACAGAAACTATGCTTTTGGCTCACTCGACTGAATCGTTGGTTGCTGAATTTCTAAAAAAAAAAAAAATAGTTCTCCAATTTGCACGTTCTAGATCCATTAACTTCCACTATTTGCCCAACATTCATTCCGCACAGTTTTAGTTGAGCAATTTTTCAATTTCCATTTGGTCTGTGCACGTTTCAGTTATCTTGCCTAATCAATTTTCGCAGCAAAAATGGCGTTCTCCTGCTCATAAAGGCATTTTTGTCCCGGTTAAAGCGCTTTGAGACATCGCTCGTCGTCTACCTAAATGCGAAACGTAATATGCGAGAGTTAAAGTAAATTTTCTAGTGCCTCGACGTGTCTCCGCGTGTTCTTTATTACCAGCAACGGCAGGTTTCTGCCGGGAAAAAGAACAACGCGAGCCGATGCACCCAACTCGTTTCTTTTTTACTTTTCGACTCATATAAGGACTCTTCTCCGGAAATTGCCAGTTGTGTTGAGTTGAAAGCAGTTGCATGGAAGCATAGTTTCTTCACATCCACTTCCGCAACTTAAAATATCCAAAGCTCGTGCCGTGACTCCGGGAAATCCATTTTTAAGTAATCGCAGATGCGCTCTCTCGGGAGGTTTCCGCATCATCAAAAATTCATTTGCAACCCTTGCGACCGCTCAAACTTAAATTTGCAACTTGCCTAGTGTGAGTTTTATGACTGCGCAGGGTGGCTCGACCATGTCGTCCTGCTTTTTCCCATATTCTGTCTATTGCCGATTTTTGGTAAAATGCTCACTAGTTAACAGTTTAAAAAATATATTTGGTTTTAGGCGATGTGGTTGATGCTTCAGCAAGAAAAGCCCGATGATTTTGTGATTAGCACCGGAGAAACGCACAGTGTCAAGGAATTTGTTGAGGAAGCCTTTAAGCATATTGACGAAGAGATTGTGTGGGAAGGTGAGGGCATTAACGAGGTGGGAAAGGATAAGCAAAGTGGCGTGGTGAGAGTGCGTGTGGACGCAAAGTACTTCAGGCCGACCGATGTGGTAAGTGACTAAGCGAACTTTTTAAATCTTCTTCGGTAATCCGCTGCTCTGTCAATGCGTGATAATTGGCTGTTTGCAGTGTTTCCTTCTGGGCGATCCCACAAAAGCCAGAGCCAAATTTGGTTGGGCTCCAAAAGTTTCCTTCTTGGAACTAGTGAAGGAAATGATGGAAGCGGACTTAGCACTCATGAGAAGGAATCCAATGGCATAAATTGGGTTCTTTACTCAAGTCAATCTACTATTTAAAGTATTTGGTTCAATTGTTGGGTTCATATCGGATGTAAACTGGACGGCAGATGGATTGATAACACTGTATAAAAGCTGCAAGTTCACACGCTAAAGCAGCGCTTGCAGGCGAATCATTTTTCAACAGTCGTCGCGTTTCTGGATGTTTCTTGCTTTTTTCGACGTTCCTCTTTTGAGTGGTAAACGTTCCCATTTTTCTGCTTTTAGCTGTATGTTGTTGTTCGTTTCCTCTTTTCAATCCATTTTTCGTAGATTTAAGTTGGATGATTGTTAAAAAATCAAACACATTTTCTGTGGAATCTGTTTTATTGACCAGAAAATCCTTCCTTTTGGTAATTGAACATTCCATTCGTTTACAGGTTGCTCCGTCTTATTTACCCTACTCTTTTATTTCTTTTAATATCGATTTGTCGAAACCTTCCATCAAAAAGCGAATATTTATAGATCATCCTTATTTCAGAAATTTGAAAATCGAATCGTTGTTTAAGAGAAAAGTTAAATTTACTCTCGTTGACGATCACGCATGATTGAACTGCATTTGTAAGTTTATAGGAACATTATTCTAGCCCGGTATGTGGTGTATTGTAAAATGTTTTGTAGCTATTGCGGGGTTGGTGTAATATAGAAACTTTGAATTTTTTGTAAATACATTCAACTATTTTGTTTATTTTTTTGTTGATTTCCTCCTGATCAATCCGTTCCATTAAATCCACTCATATCACTCTTTCGAAATATTTCCTGATGTGTCGAACAAGATGCGTGGTTGCGCTTATGAAACCTCAAACAGTTGATTTACAATGTGTTTTATTTTCGATTCGAAACCATAAACCCTCTGTGTTGGGCGGCAGTCTTTGGATCCGTGTGTTATGCTGTTTGACTGACTGTTTTAATGTTCACGCCCAAGCAAACAAACACTTTCGGTTTCTAGAACATTACTATTTACTTATACGCCGCCTTTTTATGCCTCTTTGCGACACATACGCGATCGACTCACGGGTGGTCCTTCCACTTTCCTGGAACTCCATCCAGTTTCCATTTGGACAGATGTCCCTGTTGGTGTTACGCAATCAGATGAAATAATAGCTGATCGAGGCCGATCAAAGGTGCTTTGATGTATTCTAATTGATTCTCGATTATTTTTTTGTTTAAATTGTGGCAATCGTTAAATTTATTTAAAAATAATGTACTTTGTGGTGGGCCGATTTAACGAAAATAAATCGTTTCCGTTTTATCGCCGTTATTAAAAGACGCTTCTTTGATTTCGGCTCGTAATGGATTTCGAGGGCGATTCACGATTTTTTATTGGTTTGACTGTTTGTGTCATTGGCGAATTGAATTGAAAATGGAAATTTAGTTGCGACTGAGTCGAAACCGCGGATTCTGCCATAGAAATTGCATTTTTTCGATAAAGGCATTAAGATCGTCGAATTCACATATAATAAACCTGCCTCCTGTGCCATGTCGTTGTTAAGGACACTAACTCGCTTTGGTGGGCGAGAAAAATGCTGAAAATGCGTCGCACAAAGCAAATTCAAAGACAAAACGAATAGAAAGGAAATACCTTGCCTAAAGTGTTTGAAATACACCCGGCTTAATAAAATATTCAAAAGACAGGGGACCGTGTTCTTTTTATTTTCGCGACGAATTATTTGACGAGGGCGGCTTTGCCATTTTAAGAAATCCCGTAATGCGGTCGACACCGTTTTATTTTGTCGGTTTTCTATTAGACGAGATAATTGCTGCTATTAAGACGATATGCTGAACGCACTTGCGGAAGATCAGTGCAGTTAAATCGCTGTTCTAGTTGTCCTTTGGACAGCTAACACGCATAAGAAACGGCATGGCTTGGCTTGGAAAAGCGGGTTTTTTTGACCCACAGTGTTTTTGCGCATTTACTCATAATCTGCAACCAGTTCAAAAAATTGAAACATTTTTTTTTGGGAAAAATTGATTGCTTTGTAGTGAATTCTCCGGATGTTTTCGCAGGTAAGTTGTAGATGGTTCAGGCCTTTGCAGTGTTTTGCTTCAAAGTTTTATTGTTGGAAAGCGCCTATTTTTTCACGCTCTATGTGTTTCAAACCTGTTCTTCTCATGACTTCTAATAATATACAGGCAAAAATGCCTTTATCTTTCAGAGCGTTGAAAATATTTTGTGTATAGAGTTCCTTTCTGAGTTGAGTGATTAGAACGATCTTAAGGTATTTTCTGCGAAAAATTATAAAATAAATTTTATTAGAACACTCGCCTCCTTTGTCGCTTTGTCAAAAGTTTTGAAATCTGTTTCCAGCTTCGAATTTGGGACAAAAATCAAATAATTTTTTTAACAAAAAAGGAACAGAATAAGCGAAAGACTGTAGAGTTTGTCAAAATACTGTGGCTTTTTAGTTTTTAGTCTGAATTGTTTTCTGCTTTACTTTCTACTCAAAAACGCTTTATGTTGTTTCCCTTAAAAATATTGACAATCTGGAAGTCTTACGCGAAAAATTACAAGATGGATTTATAGCTTTGTAGGAATTCTAAAAAAAAAAATCAGTGTCGAAAATAAATTTTTCCTGTTTTTTCCCGAAAAATGTCAACTCAATGATCAGCAGGGGTGATTTTCTCCACAAACTTTGCGAAAAATCCCCGGTTTTTTCCGATTTTCAATGAAAAACTGCTCGTCGTCCGTCGTCATTTTGTGTTTTTGTTGTTCAGTTGAGTTGCCAATCTAGAAGCTTTCAAAAGTGCGTCGATGTCCGGCGAAAATCATTAAGGCTTTCTCAAACACCGATTACAAAAATAAAAGTTTTTAGTCAAAAGCGAAGAAAACCCATTATTTTCCCAGTTTCTATTATACTTTCCTGACAATTATGGAATCTTTTCAGCCCAAAAATGACAAAATTAGTTGTCAGAAAATTCGCCTCATTCATCGCTTTGCAAGTAGATTTAAAAGCCCTTTTCAGCTTCGAATTTGGCACAAAAATCAGATAATTTAAGTTAGTATTTTACCGAAAGTAATTATGATTATCTTAAAAAAATTACCAGAGCAAAGGTTTACAAAAAATATTTGGAAAATTCGCCTCCATCATCGCCTTGAAGATTTTCAGTTTCCTTAAAATTTCAGGTCTTAAGCAATTCTTTCGACGCAAAAAACGCATCATTTTTTAGTTTCACTTAAAACCACTGACAATCTTCAGGTATTTTCTGTGAAAAATTATGAAATACATTTTATTGACACTCTCCTCCTTAACAGCTTCGTAAACATTTTTCTAGAACCTTTAGCAGCATTGAATTTCTGATAAAACCCCAATAATTTTTTCTGGATTTTTTCTAAAAAAATATTTTCCCGAACAGAACAAGCGAAAGTTTATAATCAATTATTTGGAAAACTCGTCACCTTCGTCGCTGTGAACAATTTGCTTTTTTTAAATTTCTTCACTTTCCGGTCAATACTTTTAAACAAAACTCTCTCTAAACAGAAACAGGCGTTTTTTCATAACGTTTTACTGTATAATACTAGCAAACTGAGAGTCTTACGCAAAAAAATTAAGAGATCGATTTTACAACAAATCTCGTCGTCTTTATAGTTTAATCTTCTAGCCTTTGTCGAATACCCGTTTTACCTTCGAATTTGGGACAAAATCGGAAAAAATTCTCGTGTTTTTTTTTTTTTTTATAAGTTTTCCCTAAAAACAGCCAGAGAAAGCAAAATCGTATAATCAACTATGTGGAAGACTCGCCGCCCTGCGACCCTGCCACCCCAAATGAGTTATAACTCATTAACAGATGAGTCCAAACAACTCAAAAGCGCACTCAACACAGTGTCACCCAGGCCTACCCTGTTTACATCTTCAAAAGTTGGTATCTATAATGCAAATACCTTCGGGATATTCTTCGTTGATTCACTCAGGCATGGCGCAATTTCTAGGTATCGTCCCGTTACAAAAATACTGTGCGCACTTCTGACATAATACCTTTAATATCTAAACAAACAGCCCTAGCTTATAGCAAAATTTGCGTAGATTTTTGCTCAAACGGCCATTAACTGTCCATTTCGTTGTGTATTGACGGTTCATGGTCACTAATATCGGCGTTTTTGTTATCACTTTTGATTAAATTTTCTATGGTGAACAGACTAGAGTTTTTCAGTTTCTTCATCGACTCGGCCATGGCATTTGGGCAGTGCTTAACGAGCGCCAGGGCTTCTTCCTGGAATCGAATTTCAATTTTGAGCATTCAACAAATAGAGTGGAGTTGAAATATCGGGGAAAACTCCCCCTTGGAGGGCAGAAGCGCCTAATTAAAAACAGAGAAAAAACCGCTCAAACCGGCCAACACAAATAAAAAGTTTTCAGTCCTGAGCCGCGCAGAAATAAAGTTTTAACAGCAACGTAAATTCGGCGTACACTTTACTACCGCTAAAGTTGTTAAATTATTTTTAACAGGAGCTAGTTAAACACGGAACGTTTTGTTTTGGAAGTTTTTGCATTTTATGCAGAATACAAAGCCTGCCAAGCGTTTACGTCCACGCTGATTAAACAGTTTGTTGTAATGGAGTTGGCCGGTTCTGATTATTAGTGTCGGTTCTTTTGTTTGTCTTTTGTTTCTCCTGTCGGCGCTAATTAGATGCAAAGCTGGAAGTTCTTCGCATTTATCTTCTCGAGTGGTGCGAAAACGGGCGAGTTTTACCTGAAAAATCGAGGTGTCGCAGTCGCTCAATCGCTGCCGTCTGGTTTTCCTTCGCCGGTAGTTTCCCTTCTCGAACATGTTGGCCGCCTTGGGATCCAGCATCCAGTAAGAACCTGGAACACGTCAATTCATTAGCCAGGTGATAACACTGTGCAAGCAACTTGCGACAAGCAGTGTTTGTCGGCAAATTACCTTTGCCGCCCGTTTCTGTTGCTCCGTGAATCTTATCTCTAGCAACTTTTACGAAACAGTCATTCAAGCTGAGATTGTGCCGTATGGAGTTCTGCCAACCTTGTTTGTTCTCTCGGTAATATGGGAAGTTTTCCATTATAAATCTGCCAAGAAATTCATTGAAATTGGTCAAATCGTCCCGGTAGTTACGATCCCGCGCTTCTTTCGCCACAAAGTTTTAGGCAATTTTTCAAAATCTCACCGGTAAATTCCTGACAAAGTAAGTCGTTGTTTCGGACTGGTCGATATGGCCATGGCGATCAGGGCAATATAAGAGTAAGGAGGTTTTTCAGGGCGGGGTTGGGCAATTTTCAGGGGCAGCGGAAAGAACAGATGAGGATAGTAGGGGTTGAAGAGCCGCTGAGCCAAAAAGCTGCTGGTCTGGGCGTTTTGCAAACAATCGGCCAAATGGTCCAGGCAGTAGCAGTTTGGGTCCAGAATGGGCGGCGCGCTCTGAATGTGAAACATCTTGCTTATGCTGCAAGGGAATTCATTATTTTTCGACCGAGCCCTGATCGGTCTGAGCAAACCTCACCCAGCGATAAATCCTGTTCAATCACATTTCCATTCACAGCAAACACAATTGATGCGGTCACACTTGAGTTAAATCCGATAGTTTTTCACGCACTTGTAACGCATGTCCCGATTAACTAGCACTGAACCACTCTGGATGACTGGCAGTGTTCGGGTTTCTCCTCCCACTAGGGGGACTTGCTTAAGACGCCTTAACTTTGAGTCATTCAAGGCGGGATTTATCGGGCACCCGGTTTCAATTGGCTGCAGCGTTTCAGAATGACTTTGGGATGTTTATAGTGAGTTTTTTCTGTGCTCGTTGCATTAACTGACTGTAGTAGAAAACTGTAGTGTTTTTCACGGTTGGTCTAATTGGGCGATAAAGTTTTCATTTGAGGAAATGGACAGCGATTCAGTCAGATCCATCCAAAATCCAAAAAAATCGATTTGTGACACCCTGTGTTATATTCCTCTTCCTGTGCAAGCGCCAACGTCTCCCGTGTTATGAATATCTCCCTGTCAGCTCGATCCGAAGACCGAAAATCGCAATATCAAAGGCTTTATTTCACGATAAGTACCTACCTAGGGGAAATAATAATTCCTTTCATTTTGAATATATGAATACGTGGAATCGTTTCGTTCGAATATATGCAACGAGGCCTGCTTTGAAAGGGCATTTTATGTGCAACTTGCCTTGCGATTGTGCCGTTGTTTGTAATTTTCAGCACCCACACACACACATTGAGAATCTCCAGCGATAGCAAAAAACGATAAATCGAAGCATCGATATATTATAAATGGTGTTCCCACATTCACTTTTAATATTTTCCATCTAATGTGTAATTTGGAGCGGGCGGATCGTCATATATTAATGGGGAGCAAACAAAAGACGGTATACCATGCGACATAGTGTTGAATAATAGACCAAAGAAGCACCATTCGATAAAGAATTTATCGGCAAAATTTCGCTGTTTTCATGCGGCTGGAAAATTGCCTCTACATGGGTAGCACTAACGTCCAACAGCTGCTTTCGGTATTAGTTGAACTAGACGTTTTTCCATTATTCAGTGGTTTGTCTTCCATTCGTTCTAGATGAAAGGGCGCGCACATTAAATGTCGACATCATCCTGTCAGTTGGCACCCAGAATGGTTTCATTAACTGCGCAAAGTGGCCCATATAAAGAAGATAAAGCAAGTTTAGTTCCTTACATATCATCTACACAGAGCCGCAGATAATGTTTATGAGCCATTTAGGAGCCAGTAAAACCGGCTCTTTATTCCTCCCGATAAGCAACGGCAAGGGATGGGGGTGGCTTCCCTATCTGGGGTTCAGTGCAGCAACAAGGCGCGCAAATAGTGTCGATAGTTTTCCCCAACAGTCGCCCTAATTACAATTAACCATGCCGGTGTTTTTCCCCAATAATAAGAAACAACTACGTAACTAAAAATGCAAGCGCCTCAGTTTCCAAACAGACATCAACACCGAGACTGCGAAGGCAAACAGGAAAATTACATCTGATTCGGAAATCAGCGAATCGAAAGAAGAGATAGCATTGTTCGAGACAGTTCGTCTTGCGTTGTTCCTGCAGATTCTGCGGGTTTGACGTGAGGCACACATTTTAGATAAACCCCCTAGACAAATAGCGACGGGAGTTTCGGTTTGGTTGAACGAGTTCAGAGGAAAGTTCTCGACAGAAACAAAAATAGCTGACGGAATATTGATTTCGGTCAAATTCACTACAAAATTCTCACAAAAGGGTTATGACTTCCTCCGCTTCAATCGGTATGGTTTTGTGAACGTGGAAAACTGCCAGTTCAGTTAAGCGATCTTCTGCCATTGGAGCTCTAAAAAAATTCGGCAAAAATTTCATTCCAGGACTCGTGCAAAAATCAAGCGACTGATTCCACTGCTCTTAATGAGGCGCCAAAAATGTGGATCTTCTCTTTGGATCACTTTTGCATCACACATGAAAATTGACCATGACTCGTGATCTCGTTTGAAAAGCAAATTTCGTATTCCGTCGGAGCATTGAATGTGGATCTGACTATGGTTCTACACAATATCTCCAGCTCAAAAGACCTAAAGTTTCATAAAAATCACACAAACTCCCCAGAGCATTTAATTTAGCATGAAAAAGTCCATTCCTTGACTCCATTTTGACTGGGAAACCTGTTTTGCTCACGGAGACCATCTAAACTAGTTTGAACAGAAACTAGCGCTTGAACAGGCACTTTCTACAAAACAGTCCACAATTAAAAAAGACTGCAAATTGCTCTTGCAAAGGAACGATCAAGCAAACAATAATGGATAACTGAAAGATTAAAATTTTCAATTCACTTAATGCACTGGACATTTTTTGAACTTGAACTAATTTTAATTCCTCAAAGATATTTTTTTCGAAAGACTGACTCTGAGTTCGAACTTGTTTTGCTTCCTTGTTGTTGCCGGTATCCAATTTGAGTCTGAAATAGTTTTTATCGCTACTGCATTGGGCTTTTAGGGGGTTTTGGAACTTTTGCAATATCTGGACAATTAACGAAGTTACACGCAAAAGAGTACGAGGTAAAAGAGGTACGCGCAAATGGAGCAGTCGAACGGTTGCCAACATTTAGGGATCATTATCTCCCAAACCGTTGCCAATGTCGATTTTTTTCAAGATACTTTAACTCTAGCTAGTGCCCGAGGCAACCCAGGGCATTTCTGCTTTTTGAATTATTTCCAACAGTTGCGGAGTTATGGGCCAATCAGTGTGCAGACAATGTGGGTGGCAGTTCGAGTCTCGACTCCATACGAAAGCGAAGTTAGTGAAAAGTGGTATTTTGAACCTCAACTCGACTCTCAAGTGAAAAATTTGCCCATTTGCGATTTAAAAAAAATAATTTTTTATTGCAATTTTTTTAAAACCCATTCAGCTGCTGCTAAAAATACATTTTTGGGTTAAGAAAATCTTGGTGCGCCTCCAAACTTCTAGCAGAAGTGCGTGTTGAAATTCTAACCAGCGCTTCAGACCTTTGAAAATTTACACTCCTCTAGCGCTGAAACGGCGACCAAAATGGAACTTTGGCCCTGGATTTTTACGCCATGTCCATAGGCTTTTAAAGAGTTTTTTAATTTCTGAAAAAAAATTGATAACTGACTGAGTTAGAGGGTAAAGAGTGGAAGTTTGTGCAAGCTTGAGAGTCTTACGCTTGCCAATATTTAGAGCCCATTTTCGTCCAAACTGTTCCAAACATACATTTTATTTATTTTGATTTATTTTCCTTACTACGTGTAATTTTTATTATATTCTTATCTTCCTGGGTCTCAGTCAAAGTGTCACGTAAAAAGAATATCGTTTATTTCCTTACGTTTCGGCGAGGCAACAGCGCTATCAGATTTAAAATTTACGCAAACTACAAACACTCGCTTTAGAACGATCCAAATCGACCCCCGTGACTCCCTCTCTGGATCCGCCCTTGAGTCGTTTGATATAATGTTTGATACAGTTATTTATAAATTTTTCTTCTAATATCCACCGATTCCCTCAAAGTTCTAAGTACTTAGTTCAAAGAACGGCAATAAAGTGTTTTCCATGCAGGGGCGGATCCAGCTTTAAATTCA